GACAATCAAGAAATAATTGTTGATTTAATGAATTTGATTACTATAAGGTTTTGCTTTTTCTGTCTCTCTAGAGCCCTCCGGCCTCCACTGCCTCCCACTTTCTTCAATTTCTTTTTCTTCTCTGAATTTTTATAGCCAACACCAGCGATCCATTATTCAGCAAATACATAGGGTACTTACTTCATGCTGAGTCTGTGCAGGCCTAGATGATACAGAAGTGAGCAAGACAGATATAGTTGCTGTCCAGATAGGAAGCAGATAATACACAGATAGTGATCTAATTAAAATTATAAAAGTATCATGTATCAGAATACATGATCCTGAATTGTCTAATTGAATTAATCATCAAATATTTTTGAAGGGGGTGCAAAGAAATTTTCATAGTCTAGATGAAAAAAAATATATCTACTATATACATATGTAAAACAGACAGGAAATATTAACTGTTAAATAAGTGATGCCAAAGGAAGCAGTTGTTTAAAGAGACAGAGACAACTTTGTTTTTTCTAAGGTTTAGAATTGTATCATGGAGATGAGATGTAAATGGAGAGAAAATAGGGAGAATTTGATTTTAAGGTAGGTGTTGTCATCAAAAATGGAAGGCAAAAATCACAGTAATTCAAGCATCATTGAGTGTAATTGAAGCAGAAGGTAGTATACATAGGGAAATATTGGGTGAGAACAGTTTATTTGTATCCAGTTGTGGAGATTTTTGTTTCTGAAAGAAACTTTTTGAGGATGAGAATTACAAATCCTTTCCTTCTTCTGTTTTGGGTTCATTAATTAAAACTTCTAGAACTGAACTTAGCTGGTTTTCCACCAAAATCCATTGTTTCCCTCTTGCATAACAATAAAATTTAAGCTTGAATCCCTCTTACCTGTTAGAGACCACATTTTCCAGACTGCCATGCAGCTAGGCCAGGAACTGTTTTCACCAATGAAATGTGAATGGAAGTGATTTGTGTACATGCTTCCCACTCCTCTTGCTTAAAAGGAAAGTGCTACCTTATATTTTTCCCCCTTTAATTTCTTCTTCCTGTGAGCTAAAACCCAGACAGTCCTGCCACCATCTTCAATAAGCTCCCTTAATGACTTGCTGCTCAAAGTGGTGATATCTCCTTGGCTGCCAGGTTACATCAATATAAGTAATAAATAAATAAATAAATAGTAAACAAATAAATAAAAAGGTGATTTCCTGAGAGCTTGTTAGTATCTTAGGCATCGTCCCAGAACTACTGATTCAGAATATGCATTTTCTAAGATTTCATTTATTTATTTTTTAATTTTTTAATATTTTTTCCTCCTTATAAACTTTTTTTAATGCCAGAAATAGTAAAAACACAATGAACTTTTAAAATCAGCATGATTGTGGGTACAAAGACGGTATGAATGGGGACTGTGGAAGCCTTGCGCAGAAAGCCAGGTCTGAGGGGAGGCTTCAGTTTCAGCTTGGACCTAAAGGCCACAGTCCAGTCGCTTCTTTCTCTGTAGTGCAGTGGTCTGGACACTGACTCCCATAGGCTCCTTCCATGCCCTTGCAGCCAGGCTGTGTGCTGGGCCTCAGGGCACATTCATTCTCAAGAAAAAATAAACTCCCCAAGTTTTTATGGGCTTGTGGCCTGAGGGACTTGTAGGCTGGAAACCCTCAGTATCCTCTTCTGTACTGCACAACTCCTGAAGTGGAGGAATTTTCTAACAAAATGAGATGGAAAGAAACAAAACAAAAAGGAACTGCAGAAAACAATGTGGAATTAATTGCTGCATTGTCCTGTTATGATTCCCAAATCTTCTAGGAAGGAGTAGGCTGCACAGTGTACAGGCATGCCATGTGCACTTATTTATTTATTTTTAGACAGAGAGGGAGGGAGGGAGAAACGGGGAGAGAAACATCGATGTGTGGTTGCCTCTCACGTGCCCCCTACTGGGGACCTGGCCAGCAACCCCAGGCATGAGCGCCTCTTTTTTGCAGACTGGTGCTCAATCCACTGAGCCACACCAGCCAGGGCCAGAATCTGCATTTTAACAAGGCCCAGGTGATTCACATTCACATTAAACTTGAGAAGCACTGCTTTAGGGGATAGTAGAGAAACTTTATGGACGGAATGTTTCCTTTGAACAACCTCATGAAGCAGAGTCATTGCTCTCCCCTATTCATCCATAAATAGCTAGCAATTGAATTTTGAGGCCTCTCTATTATAGCAGCATTGCATTCACCCTAATGTAATTTGCCTCTTCTGTTGACTGAAAACTAGGATATACATTCATTTAGGAAATGCTTTTGAACATATTTTGTAGGTAAAAAGCACTGTTCCAGGTCCTTCCTAGCCCCTGGCCCTGGACCCACAATTTGGTGATATAACATCTGTCCAAAAGGTACCTAGAAATGCAATATGAAAAATATAAACAATTATTGAAGAAGGTACAAGATACAAGAACATTGTACATAGGACAATGACACCTCAGTCCCCTTCAAAGTTGCCACCTTTGAACCTCACGCAGTTCTCCCAATTGCCATCAGCTGTCCTGTCATATTTTCCTGAATTTCATCGAAGTTCTGAGATCTCTTCCCTTTCAAAGGTGATTTTAGTTTTGGGAAAAGCCAGAAGTTGCAGGGTGCCAAATCTGGGCTGTTGGGGGGTTGAGTCACCTGGGAGATTTGATGTTTTGCCAAAAAAGTCTGCATGAAACATGCTGTGTGAGCAGGCGCATTGTCGTGATGAAGCTGCCCATCACCAGTTGCCTAGAGCTGTGGCCTTCTGAGTCATCCAAATAGTTTCTGTGGAGGAAAGTTCAAGCTTAATGCAAAATTCGATGCAGATTCTTTGCTTTACTCACTCAGTAATTTTGAATGTGATGGCCACAGAGTACACATGCTCACTCAATTGTCTACTGCCCCCATTGACTAGTACAATGAAGTCGTCATTGTCCACCCATGTGCATTCTAGATCACTCTCCGTGGCTGCCAGGTTACATCGATGTTGCACAAACCATTCTCATTATATGTGCAATGGCTTGACTTTTCCGAGCAGAGCTTAAATATTATACATAAAATATTATATATATTTATACATATTTAAATAGTTTGGTTTATAAATATCTATATTTTATGTATATAGTTTATAATTTAGTAAAGGGAAAAGACATTGAAATATTGAAGTTATAGGTGCTATTAGAAAGTGTAGTGACTATTTGCTGTTTTTATTTTTTTATATACTTGTGGTAGAATAATGCCTCCCCGAAGACACCCATGTCCTCCTAATCTCTTCAACCTGTGAATGTTACCTATATGCAAAAGGTCTTTGTGGGTATGATCAAGCTGTGAATTTTAAAGTGAGAAGATTATCTTGGATTATCCAAATGGAGCCAGTGTAATCACAAGAGAGAGGCAGAGGATCAGCGTGCAAGCAGAAGCTGTGAGAATGGAAACAGATGTTGGAGTAGTGCCATTGCTGGAATGGGCACGAGACAAGGTGTGTGGGCAGCTTCTAGGATCCGAAAAAGGCAAGTAATGATTCTTCATAGAGCTCCAGAAAGAGTGCAATGTTGCCAATACTTTAAGGTTAAGACCATTCTTGGACTTCTGTCTGTCAGAACTGTAAGATGATAAATTTGTGTTGATGTAGGCCACTAAATTTGTAGCAGTTTCTTACAGCAGCCATAAGAAACTAATACACAGCTCTTCCATTTTGGAGAGCCCATGCCCCCGACCCCAGTGAACCTGCGTAGGAAGCAGAGCCAGACATTCCTTTCGTCATTATTGGCCAATTGTATATTCTTGTTTGGGACATGAAATTTTGAGGGTGTGAGGTAGACACAGAATTAGTAATTACTCATGGAGGTGGTGGCAGGAATGGCCAGACTGTTACTGTGACATGACCTTGCTTATGTTCCCTGGTACCCATGTCCCTTGGTTTCTATCCAATATCTATGCTTGATTTGCTGCTTTTCCTATTGATTGTTTATCCTATATTCCACTAATTACTCCTTCTCTGGTTTCTGTTTTTTATAGCCAAGACCTTTGACTAATTCAGAAAGCCACATAGTTAATGTGCACGTATTTCAATTTCCTAGATTCTCCATCTTACGAGGGCAAGACCTTTGTCTGATTTATCTTCATATCCGCAGTTCCATAGTGAGTATCTTGCACTCAATATATACTTGTTGCATAAGAGAAGCAAACAACTATAATGTAAGGCTACTTGTTAGAAAAGAGTTAATTGCTGGAGGTGGCTTTAAGGGTATATCAAAGAGTTAGCATTAAATGGAGACATTAAAGTTGGATAAAATTTCTGTTGACCAGATGAGAAGGGAGCATTCTAAGCAATAAAACGTAAGTAGTTTACACTGATATTTAGCCACATTTTTACTTTATTTATAAACATTGTTATTACAAATATATTCATATTTAAAGACGGTCAACCTTCAGCAGAAGATTCTATCCATTAGACATATGTAGACCATGGCTTAGCAACTTTTGGTATGTGGGACAAGGTTGCTATTATTTCTTCAACTTGCACTGACATCGAGGAAGGCCAGCTATGTAAAGTTTGTTTCCTTTGTTACTAGCATCATTCCACATCGTCATTTTGCCCTAATTGTCTGAACTCAGACCCCCATATCCCCCATGTTGCACTAAAGGTGGTGGGGTGTGCTGAAAACAAACTTGGTCATATTTATTTTTGCCACAAAAACGCTTAAGGGGAGGACGAGCCATTTTCGTTAGTAAGTAGAACGGTTTGAGGTGTAGAGCAGTCTCTCAGCTCTTCAACTAGCCATATTATCAACAAAAATCCGCGGCTTCCACTAACTCACCATTTCGAAAAAGGGGATAAAGATTTTTTAAAACATACAGTCACAACAATACCAAGATCCTACACCACCTGAGGCTAGGCTGGGCGGGGCCAGACCCACGAGGCCAGTGGGCGCCTTCGGGCGCTGGCGACTGAGTGCAGTGCGCAGGCGCCCACCTGCAGTCGCGCAGGGGCCAGACGCCCACACGCCCCGCCTGACGTCTCGTCAGACTTAGACTCTCCTGGCTTCCCTCCCACCGCCCTGGTCGATCTACCCCTCCAGGCCCCGCCTCGCCGCTCCGCTCCTCACCGCCTCCAGCTCTGCGGGCGAACTGCGTGTTGCTGCGTCATCGCCAGTGGCCGGTTTGAATGAGGCTCTCGTCGCACCCGAGCTGCTGCCGACACTCTGCCTCTGTCTCGGCTGCTGCCACAGCTTCTTCGTGTCCCCTTCCTGTGGCCACCCTTGCCAGGCCCAGCCTTCCTGCTCCGCCGCCTTCCCTCTCGCCCTGCCATGCCTCTCTACTCCGGTGAGCCCTCTCCTCGCCTCTTGTCCCGCAATCCTGCCCAGTGCTAGGCCTCAGAGTAGGCCTGGCCTGCGGGGCGGAAGCCGGGCTGAGCACGGGGCGGGGGAGGGGATGGAGGAGGCAGGGGCCCGGGTGACTGCAGCGTGGAGTTGACTCTGGCCAATTTCTCCATCTTTGCCTGTAGTTCTAGCCCTGCAACAGGAGGGAGCGAGGTCTCTTCTCAGCCACCTGGTGGGTGGGGTGGGAGCGGGAGTGGAGATGGGGAAGCTGCCAGCGTGGGCCTCTGGGAGTGGTGACTCTGCAGAATAGTTTCTGTCGCTGTCCTAGTGTGCTGGGAAAGGTGAGGGTGTGTCCTGGAGCCCCGGGGAGCAGGCCGTAGGTGTAGTGGGATTTCCTTGTGCTCATCAGCGGTAGCTGTGGAAGGGAGTAGCAATGAGGGAAGCCTGAAGTAAGGGAGGGATGGAGGGACCTGGGATGTAAGACTAACCTTCACCATTCATGGAATTTCCCACGGTAGCTTCCATTCGTTTACCCCTTGCTGCCTTTGGATCAGCCCCCTTTTTTTGTACCAATTTGTGTTTTATCCCAAGGCAGATTGCGACTTTTTTGCTTTGTTTTTCTTTCATCAAGCATTGCGTTTCTGTGTCCTAAGCGGAGTGTTAGCTTTGGGAGGTAGATGAATACCCATTCCCACGGCGGGCATCATTTCCTTTTGATAGGCGTTTGATGGGTATTTTGCATGATGGTAGTCTGAAGGATTGGCCAAGGGTCGCATTTTTAGGTAATGAACCTCCCTGTTTCCTAGTCTGATTCCAAGTGGCACCTGCATGAAAGAAGGTGAAGGGATTAGCCAAAGAACATGTATGTATAGTCCATAGACAGACAACAGTGTGGAGATGGCCAGAAGGATTGGGGCGGGGGCTGGGTGGAGGCGGCAACGGGGAGGGGGAATGGGGGCATCTGTAATAGTGTCAACAATAAAAATAAAGACAAAAACTAAAATGCTAAAAAAGAAAAAAAGGGCACCTATGATGTATGTGGCGGTTCCAGTTGTTTACGAATGTGTGATTCCTTGGCCATACCTGACTATCATAATTCCTTTATTGAATATTCAGCATTTTCAAAGAATAATATGAAACAAAAGAGTAATGTTTAATATCAAGGTAGAGTCTTGATATTCTAGAATATTGAATCGAATGCTTTAATAATTATTATCAGTAGAATAATTACATAATAACATTAGAAGGGTTCTTGAAATACTCCATTTATGCAATGTAGAATTGAGGGGGCATTAAGTAATGGCGGTAAATCCCAGTGTAGGCTAACACAGGTAGACACACAACACAACAAAATCAACCTCTCTGTTCTCAGAAAATGCCTATATTCACTGGTGTGGCTCAGTGGATTGGGCATTGTCCTGAAAACAAAGGTCCGTGGTTCGATTCTGTTCTGGGCATATACCTGGGTTGTGGATCAGGTCTGCGGCTGGGGACGGTGGGAGAGACAGCTGTTGATGTTTCTGTTGCACATGGGTGTTTCTCTCTTTCTCTCCCCCTCGCTCTAAAAAGAAATAAATCAAATCTTTTTTAAAAGCCTTTACTTACCAAACTTTCTATCTTAAAAATTGAGTTCCTTCTTAAATATTTAGTCAAACTTTACCTCATTTCCAAAATGAGGGAATTGAGGTAGATTCCCAAGGTTTCTTCCTTTGACATCTCTATACTGAGAATCTGTATTTTCAGGTTCTGGAAAAAGCCCTATATTAAAATGAGAACATTTTAAGTACTGTTTCATATGTTTTGGGTAGAAAATTAAATATCCAGATTCTTATATGGTTAAGGGAAGTGCCGTAAAACTTAGTGACCATTTGTGTGCCCAGCACAAAGCTAGTGTTTTTACATGTTGCTTTGTTTTAATCTTCAACACAATCTTGTGATACTGGTATAATTCTCCTTTATGGGTAAGAAAAAAGTTTAAGTAACTTGCCCATATAACACAGATAAGTACATTTCAGATAGGTTCTGTTCCTTTCCTTTTCTTCCCTTTCCCTCCTTCCCTTCCTTTCTTGATTTTAGAGAAAGAGAGAAACAAATATTTACCCTGTTGCTCCACCCAGTCATGCACCCGCAACTGGACCTGGACACCCAGACCATGAACCAAACTCTTCCCCCAACCCTGATACATACGTTTGATGCTCTGACCAACTGAGCTACCCACCCAAGGCCCCCTTATTTTTGGTACTGTTTTTGGTTTAGTCCTGTCTTTTGCTTGTACTATTGTTATGTTTCTAGCTTATCTCAATGATTACAGTTTTACCCTTTTCAAACCCATGTTCTCTGCTGCTGCTAGCGTAATGTTCAAACTGGACCCAGGTGGCCTTTATGAAAACCTTTTCGAGAATGCACATGGTCTATGACATAAAGCCCGTATGTTTTAGCACAACTTACGTTATCTTTCTTGACTTGATCCTTGGCTGGCTTCCAGTTTGAGCTGCTTCCCCTTCATTCTGGGAATTGTATCTTAGAACACACCGTGCTGTCTTATGTTTTTGAATATTTTTCTTGTCTTTTCCAAGAATGCTTTTATTTTTTCTTTTTCTCTGGCCAACAACTAATTTTTCTTTTGAGTCTCAACTTGTGATAAAACAGTTATCCTTTTCCAGGAAAATCTTCCTTGCTCATGAAGCATTCCTCTTTGTTTCTGTAGCCTTTATAATATTTATATTGCATTATTTATTCTCACCTTTTCCCCCCATTTCTCCCTTATTAGACTATGAGTTTATAGAGCTCCAGGGTCAGTTTTTCATATTCTGATTTTAATAGTTTGGAAATCAGACAACCATTTGTTGTGAAATTCTCATTTTGAGTAAGTATAAAGTTTTTAGTGGAAACAAAGTATATATTCATGATTTTATATTTAAATATTTCAAAAATTAGCTATTGTATGAGGCTAATTGAAAATTTTTATTGTGGTCCATTATATGGAACATAAAATGGACTATTTTAACTTCCCCTCCACCCCGCCAAATTGCGAATCACTGTGCGGTCTCTGGGTCAATATTATTTATTTTTTAATATATATTTTATTGATTGTGCTATTACAGTTGTCCCACTCTTTTTCTCCCCTTTATTCTCCTCCACCCTGCATTGCCCCTCCTGCCAGCATTCCCCCCTCCCCCCCGCCCTTAGTTCATGTCCGTGGGTCGTACACATAAGTTCTTTGGCTTCTCCATTTCCTATAATATTCTTAACCTCCCCCTGCCTATTTTATACCTACTATTTATGCTGCTTATTCCCTGTACCTTTTCCCCTATTCTTCCCCCTCCCCATCCTCTCTGATCTTCATTTCAGTGATTCTGTTCCTGCTCGACTTGTTTGCCTAGTTTGCTTTTTTCCCCCCCTTAGATTCAGTTGTGAGTTTGTTGTCATTTTACTGTTTATAGTTTTTGATCTTGTTGTTTTTCTTAGATAAGTCCCTTTCACATTTCATAGAATAAGGGCTTGGTGATGACGAACTCCTTTAACTTGACCTTATCTGGGAAGCACTTTATCTGCCCTTCCATTCTAAATGATAGCTTTGTTGGATAGAGTAATCTTGGATGCAGGTCCTTGTCTTTCATGACTTTGAATACTTCTTGCCAGCCCCTTCTTCCCTGCAAAGTTTCTTTTGAGAAATCAGCTGATAGTCTTATGGGCACTCCTTTGTAGATAACTGTCTCCTTTTCTCTTGCTGCTTTTAAGATTCTTTCATTATCTTTAATCTTGGGTAATGTAATTATGATGTACCTTGGTGTGTGCTTCCTTAGGCCCAGCTTTGGGACACTCTGAGCTTCTTGGGTCTCCTGGAAGTCTATTTCCTTTGTCAGACTGGGGAGGTTCTCCATTATTTTTTCAAATAAATTTTCAATTTCTTGCTCTTCCTCTTCTCCTTCTGGCACCCCTATGATTCGGATGTTGGAACGTTTCTTGGAGGATCTTAAGCCTCTCTTCATTTTTCTGAATTCTTGTTTCTTTATTCTGTTTTGATCAAATGTTTATCTCTACCTTCTGTTCCCATTCTTTGATTTGAGTCCCCGTGTTCTTCCCTTTCCTATTAGTTCCATGTATATTTTTGTTTCACTTTGTGTAGCCTTTACTTTTTCCTCCATTTTGTGACCATACTCATCCTCTTCAGTGAGCATCCAGGTTACCAGTGTTTTGAACTGTGCATCTGATAGGCAGGCTATCTGTTCATTGCTTAGTTGTATTTTTGGAGCTTTGATCTGTTCTTTCATTGGGGCCATATTTCTTTGGTTCAGCGCGCCTGTTATGATGGAAGGGGCAGAGCTTTAGCTATTTGCCAGGGCAGGGCATCCCAGGTTGGTGCGTTGTGATGCTGTGTGTGGGGAAGGGTCCAAGGGGCAACAATGTCTCTTGCTTGGCTCTTGATAGGCTATCAGTTAACTTCCTCCACTATCCACATGCAAATTGGGCCCTTCTAGTTCTGATTCTCAGGTGGGTGGGTTTGTATAAGTTCTAGGACCCTGGGAGTGTCTCCAAGGGACTCTTCCATGAGGCTGGGAGTTTCTCCTGCTGTTGCAACCCTCACAGGTTTTTACCTTGAGAGATTGTGAGGCTTGCTTTTCCTGCACTGGAACCCTGGATTGTGTGGTCTGTCTTGCTCCCCAGATGTTTCTCCTGGTTTATCTGCATGCAAAAGTGGGACTGCCCCATCTACCAGTGGGTAGCAGGCGCCTCACCCACCTGGTCCTCCAGCCACCTTCTTGCCTCACATCCTCTCCGCCCTGGCTGCTCATCTCCACCCCTCCTACTGGTCTGGGTGAATGTTTCTTCTGTAGCTCCGTGGTTGTTGGATGTCCATACAGTTTAATTTTCTGGCAGTTGTTATTTTTTCTTTTTAAATTTGTTGTTGTCCTTCTTTTCATTGTGCAAGGAGGCAAAATGCATCTACATAGGCCTCTATCTTGGCTGGAAGTCCTCTATTTAACCATTTTTAAATGTACAGTTTTTGGCGTTCAGTTCATTCACATTGTTGTGCAATCATCACTGTCCACCTTCCAAACTTTTTCACGTTTCTAAAATGAAACTCTGTTCCATCAAACAGTAACTCTCTATTTCTGTTCCCCTCATTCTACTTTCTGCCTCTGAATTTGACTACTCTGTCTCACATAAGTGGAATCATACATCTGTCCTTTTGTATCTGCATTATTTGGCCTAGCGTAAAGTCTCCAAGTTTCATCCATGTTGTACCATGTACAAGAACTTCATTACTTTTTAAGGCTGGATAACGTTCATTATATATGTGTGTGTATGTATATGTGTATGTGTGCGTGTGTGTGTGTGTGTGTGTGTGTGTGTATGCCACATTTTGTTCATTCATCTTTTGGACATTTGAGTTGCTCTTATCTTGGCTCTTATGAATAACGTTGCTATGAACATGGGTATAAAATATCAGTTTGAGTCCCTGCTTTATCTGCTTTTGGGCATATACGTAGAAGTAGAATTGCTGGATCATATGGTAATTCTGTGTTTAATTTTGTGAGGTACTGCCATACTGTTTCCCCAGTGGCTGCACCATTTTATAGTCTCATTAGCAATGCACAAGTGTTCCAGTTTCACCACATCCTTATTTATTTTCTTTTGTTTCTTTTTAAAATAGCCATTTGAATGGCTGTGAAGTAGGAATTCTATATTTTTTAGTGGTTTAGTTACATCTTTGAATTCTTAATATTTGACCATTTTGTGCTCAGGGAGCACATTTCATCTTTAGAATTCAGAATCTATTCCTTAACTTGTTTTTTGTCTTGTTTTTTTTTGTTTTGTTTTTTGTTAAACACAGCCTCATACAAATATGTAGGAGGAGCATTTTTTTAAGATTTATTTATTCATTTAGTTTTAGATAGGAGAGAAACATCAACGTGTGGGTGCATTTTGTGCGCCCCCTGCTGGGGACCTGGCCTGCAGCCCATACAGCGGGAATCTAACTGGCGACCCTTTTGTTCGCAGGCTGGGACTCAGTCCACTGAGCCACACTAGCCAGGGCAATTCCTTAACTTGTTTCAAATATGCTCTCAATTTTTTTTCTTTCAAATTACCTTTCTAAAATCTTTCTTTTTTGTATTCCAATAGTATGTAGATTTTAATGACTGCTTAAATACATTTTGAAGTCTGTGGACCTTATTCTGGGAAATATTTTAGTGTAATCATATTTTGCAGAGATTATTGATGTGGGATTCAGAAGACTTGAATATTTACTGAATAGTTTTTTTGACATTGGTACATCAACCAGCTTCTCTTAAGTACTGGTTTCCTTTTTTATTAAATGAGATATTGGATTAGATACAGTTAAATTTTATTCAGGATCTACTGCTCCTGATTTGTTGTAGACATGAACATAAAAAAATGACGTAGTTTGGCTTTCAAGAACTAACTTTTTCTAAATCTGAAGTCTTGTTATTTTGTAAATGAGAAAACAAGTTATGGTTTTGTTTGCAGTTACTGTGAAATGGGGAAAGGAGAAATTTGAAGGTGTGGAATTGAATACTGATGAACCTCCGATGGTGTTCAAGGCTCAGCTTTTTGCATTGACTGGAGTCCAGCCGGCCAGACAAAAAGTTATGGTGAAAGGAGGAACACTGAAGGTAAAACTTAGTCCATATTTTCATTATACTCTATAATTATATAATTAGTGAAATGTAGCATTTGAGGTTTATTTGGTCAGCATATAGTTATGGGATTACAACTATTTTATTCATGTTAGTGTAAGGAGGAACATTGTAGCCATTTCAAACATATTATAAAAGCATCATTAAATATTTTATTTTCAAATGCACTATATTAATAAATACCTCTGTGGGTCAAAGGAGTAGGGCATTTTATTTATTTGTATTTATTTGTATTGTTTGAATTTTTTTTCCTAGGAGGGTGTGTTAAAAATACTACTTTTTTTTTTTTTTTAAAGATTTTATTTATTTATTTCTAGACAGAGGGGAGGGAGAAAGAGAGGAGGAGAAATGTCAGTGTGTGGTTGCCTCTCACTTCCCCCAACTGGGAACCTGGCCTACAACCCAGGCGTGTGCCCTGACTGGGAGTCAGACTGGAGACCCTTTGGTTTGTAGGCCAGGGCGCAGTCCACTGAGCCACATCAGCCAGGGCATTATTTTTAGACTATTTTAAAATCTATTTGTATTTTCATAGTAATTTTCTGTTATGGGGTGGAAAATTTTATTTTTGTTAAATATATGAAACTGTGGTAGATTTTTAAAATAAAAAGACTACTACAAAATGTACATGCATTTTGTATGCATGAGTGGTTGGGGCAGGGGTGAGTGGTGGCAGGTAAATGGAGACAAATGTATTGGAACAATAAAAAAGTTATAAAAAAAGAAAAAAAATGTATCCAGGTAAATGTAGGAAAAGTTGAAGGGGAAAAAAAATGTACATGTATTTGAATGTTGAAATTCAAAATATTTCAAGATCTTTACCAAAGCCCTGGTCTGGAATACTGGAAAACTTAACTTCTTTTTTCCTGTGGCCTTTCTTGCATCCAACCCATTGAAAAAGAGCCCCTTTCTCTTAAGAGTAATTGCCATCTAACACCTATCAAGATGGGAGGCAAAAAAAGTTCGTTTAAAAAAGAGAGGGGACTTAATGTTTCCTTTAGTTTCCTTGGAATGATCACATTGACTACAGTTTAGAGTCCAAGCTTACTAGCATCATTGATGAAAGGCTACCTAAAACACACAAAGGTATTTTCTTCATTGTTGTTTGTACTACTGTATAAATATAGTTTTTAAAGAGTACTTTCTCCAAGACTTAGATATGAAATACTAAAGAGCTGTAGTTAATTTTATTTTTATTTAACATTTTTTAAAAATGTTTTTCTTTATTTTTTTTAGAGAGAAACATCGATTTGTTGTTCCATTTATTTATGCATTCATTGATGTGTTTTTGTATGTTCTCTGATTGAACCCACAACCTTGGTGTATCAAGAGGACGCTCTAACCAGCTGAGCTACCAGGCCAGGGCCTATAGTTAAGTTTAAGAGATAAGGGCTGGCTACCATTGTCAGCTGGGCAGTAAAACATGTTGGTGAAGAAACATTGTTTCCCCTCCAAGTTGCAGTATGAGCTTTTGAACATTGATAACCTAGTTTCTGCTGAGCTGTATATAAGTACACCTCAGGGATCTTGCAGGTTTCGTTCCATACCACTGCAGTAAAATGAATACTGCAATAGTGCATGTATCACACAAATATTTTGGTTTCCCAGTATATGTAAAAGTTACATTTATACTATAGTCTGTTAAGTGTGCAATAGCATTACTTCTAAAAAAAAAACAATGTACATACCTTAATTGAAAAATACTTTATTGCACCCTGGCTGGTGTGACTCAGTGGATTGAGTGCCGGTTTGCGAAGCAAAGGGTTGCTGGATCAATTCCTAGTCAGGGTACATGCCTGGATTGTAGGCCAGATCCCAAGTTGGGGTGCACGAGAGGCAACCACGCATTGATGTTTCTCTTCTCTTTCTCCCTCCCTTCCTCTCTCTAAAAATAAATATATAAAATCTTTAAAAATAAAAAGAAGAATACTTTATTACTAAAAAATGATAACCATTTTCTGAGACTTTTTCCTGTTGGGAGGGTCTTGTAAAATATGCAGTATCTACAAAGCGCAATAAAGCAAAGCACAATAAAACAAGTTATGCCTATATTGGTGGTATATTGCAGAGAATTAAAGAAACATGCTGATTAAATGAAACTGACTACTAATAGCTACCACTTTTTGAATACTTACTTTGTGCCTTGCTTTTATTTTTCATTCTCAACTGTATGTATTTAAAAATAATGAAAGTAAATGTATTTTCGTATTTTATAAATGAGGAAACAGCATCATAGAGCTTTAAATAAGATATAGTAAGATAACCGAAAGAGCATGTAATTCACAAGTCACGTAGATCTGGGTTCATTTCCCAGCTCTTTTGTGACTGTGGATAGGTAAGTTCTCTGAGGGGGCATATATACGTATTATTACAAATGAATAGCAGTAGTGGTCCTTAAACTGAGAAGGGTCTTTAGGAAGTTACTGTGCCACTTTGAAGCAGGGTGTCCAGAGAGACAGTTAGTGGCACCACCGAAAGAACCAGACTGAGTACCTGCACAAAGGAAAAAAGTGATATAGAACTGACTTTGTTCATGGACCAATCAATCATGGCATTAAGAAAAAAAATCTTGATTTATTTGAACATATTGAAGTAAAATTGTTTGTTAATTGTTTCATAGATTTGGAATTTAGTAATTGAGAGACATTTGTGGACATGGCAAGTATTGTTAAGGTTTAATTTGCCTTGTAAGTAGTTCTATTTACTCTTCTGGTGTAATTTTTAATAGCACTTTCTCAAGAGCCTCCTGATTTGGATGATAAATTCTGTAATTACCCTGATTATGTAGAATTCACTTCATGTTACTCTTCATTCTTGTCACCTAAGCTAATTATTAGCTCTGCTGGTTCCAAACATGCAATGAACATGAAAAAAATTAGCATATTTCATTTGTCATCAGTCAGGTGCTTTTTAGTACTTTTGGTGCTCCCTTGTTTACTGTCTTTTAGATTGTGTCTTATGTAAATAGTTTAAACAGATCTTGATAGACTTCCTATCTTTAGGATTGCATCTTTTTTTTAAATGTGTTATTTATTTATTTTTAGAGATGGAAAAGGACAGAGACAGAGAGAGGGAGAAACATTACTAGGTTGCCTCCTGCCCCTGAAACCCAGGCCTACACACTGAGAGGAATTGAACCAGCGACCCCTAGGCATGACACCTAACCCACTGAGCCACAGCAGTCAGGGCTGCTTGTATTTTCTTAAAAATGCTTTTGATTATAGTAATTTAACTAAAATTTGCTGACAGAAATTTCTATTTGGAAGTGGCTTAAAATTAGTTGATTAGATTACATTTTGAGTATACAGGTGTGATTAAATTTTTTTTATTTATCTTTAAAACAGGATGATGATTGGGGAAACATCAAAATAAAAAATGTAAGTATTATCCTGAGAAAACTTATTATAGTGCATCCTAATTATTATATCAAAATACATTTCAAAAGCTTTTTTTTTTTTTCACGTATATATCCAGCTGTTCCAACACCATCTGTTGAAAACACTTTCCTTTTCCCATTGACTTGTGTTGGAGTCTTTCTTGAAGATCACTTGTAGTTCTATTTTTGGACTCTTGTTTCATTGATACATTTGAAGAAACTTATATCACTATCACATGGTCTTACTAAGGCTTTTTAATTCTTGAAATAAAATAGTGTAAGTTCTCCCACTTTTCCTTAAGACTATTTTAGTTCCTTTGCATTTTTGTATAATTTTAAAGGAGTCTGTCAGTTTCTACAAGTGGACTCCTGGAATTTTGTTTGAGATTGCATTGAATTTGTAGTTCATTTTGGGGAGAATGAACATCATAATTAGTATCGAGTATAAAATACTTAAATAGGGTGTGCTTCTCTACTTCTTTAGGTCTTTATGTTCTCTTAGCTGAACTGTTTAGTTTTTCATTCAGCATAGAGGTTTTGCATGGTTTTTGTTAGGTTCCTGGAACTTAATGTTTTTTAACTGGTGAAAATGATAATTAAAAAAATTTGTTATCCAGTGTTCATGGCTGTATTATCAGTGTTCATGGCTATATTATAAAAGTACAGTATGTTTTCCATCCTGTGACCTTAGTAAATTCACTTATTGGTTCCAATACTTTTCTTTTTTTTAAAGATTCCATTAGGTTTTCTGTGTACATAGCATGTTATCTGCAAGTAGAGGCAGCTTTACTTCCCCTTTTACAATCTTTATGACTTCTATTTCTTTTTATTGCCTTACTTCACTGCCATGTATAAACGTAATTAATTACATATTGACCTGTATCCTGTGACTCTGCTAATTTTATTTATTAGTGTGTTAGGATGATGTAGGTATCATGTCATCTGCAACAAAGAAGGATTTCTTTTCATTTCTGTGGCTTTTATTTCCCTTTTTTGTTTGCTTTATTGCACTGGTTAAGTTTTCAGTGGTGTTGAATAAAAGTGGTTGACAGTGGACACCATTGCATTTTTCTGATCTTTGGAGGCAAGTCTAGTCTTAGCTGGAAGTTGATTTTTTTACAGAAGTTCATCATAGCTGAGGAGATTCTTTTCTGTTTCTAGTTTGTTGTAGTTTTTAGCATGAATGAGAACTGAATTTTGCTGACTCCTTTTTCTGTTATCTATTGAAACAATCATTTGTTTTTTATCCTTTAATATGTTAATGTGGTGAACCACACTTTTTTGAATAGTAAACCAACTTTCTATTCTTGCTGGATTCTATTTGGTGGTATTTTGTTAAGGATTTTTATTTCTGTACATGGGAGATAAGGGTTTGTAGTTTTCTTGAATTATCTTTGTCTGAATTTACTGTCAGGGTAATGCTGGCCTTATGAAGTGAATTAGGAAGCATTCCTATGTTCCCTCTTTTCTGAACGAGTTTATATATTGTTTTTTCTTTCAGTGTTTCAAAGAATTTTCCAGTGAAGCCCTCTAGGCTTTGAGCTTTCTTTGTGGGAAGACTTTTAATTAAGAATTTAGTGGGACTATTGAGATGTTGTTTTCTTTTATGTCAGTTTTGGTAATTTGCATCTTTTAAGGAGTTGGTCCATTAAATTTAAGTTGTCGAATTGATTAGCATAATAGACTCTTTCATTCTAAAATCTGTAGTGCTGTTCTTTCTCTTTTCCCTGTAGTACTGGCAAATTGTGATTTCTGAGGTTTGTTAATTTCATTGATTTCCCACCCTCTAACAATCTGCTTTTCTTGCTCATTTATTAGTTTATTGATTTCCCCTCTGTTTTATTTCCTGCTTTTACTTTGGTTTTAATGTATGCTTTAATCTTGTTTCTTAAGGTAGAAACTTTATTAATTTTCAGAAGCCTTTCTTGTTTTCTGTATATCTATTTTGCCCATTTTTCTATTGTGTGCTTGCCTTACTGTTTTTCTTTTTATAGGTGCTTTTATAGTATAATTCCATTTTCTAGGTTGTCCTTTTAAATTTTGATTAATGTTTTATGGAAGTTTTAAATATTTATATGGTTAGGGACATCAGTCATTTCATCTTACATAAATTTAAGAAAATATAGCAAGACTTTTTTGATTCGTTTACATGTTTTTGTAGTTGATTCTTTTTTACATTTTAATCTTTAATTTGTAATTCATTTTGGTATGGTATGCCATGAGGTAGTGAACTGATAGTATTTTATTTTCTAAATTATTACCTGTGCTTTACTTCATTATTCTTCATTGTATCTATTTTCTTAATTATATTAAATGGCACTGTTGTGGTCTTTATTCTTTTTCAGAAATTTCTTAGCTATTGTCATAGATATGAATTTGCTACATGAATTAAAGATTGTATAGTTTCTAAAAGGAATTTCATTAAATTTGGGTAATAATTTGGAATATCTTTACAATAATCTTTCAGTCCAGAAACCCATCATGTCCTTCATTTATTTAGGTGTTTTATTCCTATCCCTAACTAGAGCTTTATAGTTTTCTAATTACATATTTTTGTTAGGTTCACTCTTAGATATTTATTGGTATTCATTCGTTCCTGTTGTATTTTCTAAATGACTGTGGCTAATATATTGTTAAAATATTTGATTTTCTGCCCTGGCTGGTGTGGCTCAGTGGATTGAGTGCCGGCCAGTGAACCAAAGAGTCACTGGTTAGATTCCCAGTCAGGGCACCTGCCTGGGTTGCAGGCCTGGTCCCCAGTAGGGGGTGCACGAGAGGCAACCATGCATTGATGTTTCTCTTCCTTTTCCCCTCTCTCCCCCTCTGTCTAAAAATAAATAAAAATCTTTAAAAAAATAAAATATTTGGTTTTCTTGAGACAATTACCTGCAGAAAAAAATTCTTTTGTACTGTTTTGCCATTATCTCAAAAAGTTTAAGTAAAAATAACAGGTGATAGAATGGGGGTTATTAGATTTCAACATATGTTCTCTTTGAGACTGTGAGTTCATTGACCTCATTTTCTCATTTTAATCCTCCTCTAGACGTTTTTATTTTATCTTTGTGTTTTTTTTTTTTTAAACTCCACTTGGGTCATTTTTTCAAAAACCTGTGTACCCTTTTCTTTGTTTCATGTGTTAATGTCTTTCAGTTAAAAGATTGAGTAATATCTTGTTCATGTTTCATAATGAACAAGATTATGAGATTTGGGATGACTGTCTTCGTTGGTCTTGTTGTGTGGAATGTTACATATATATTGAGTATAAGTATTCTGCTAGGTTAACATTTTGTAGAATTTTGAAGTTGAGTATTTTGAATTTACATGTTTTATTTGATATTTTCCAATAATGGGGATTTCGGTGCTCTCAAAATACTTCTATAGAAATGTAAATAATTGTTAGTTATATAATAGATATTGACAGAAAGAATCTTACCAGTGCCTAGTTTGTTATGGGAAGAAATTATGCCATTAAATGTTGATCATTTGAAGAATTCCATTCTCTGCAATAATGTAAACATTCTCAATTTTCTTTATGGTAATATTTTTTCTTTGGTTTTATTGATTTATACTTTATATAGAATAAAACTTACCTTTTTTTTAGTGTATAGTTTGATGAATTTGGTTAATTTTGGACACCACAGTCAAGATATACAAGTTCCACCGCTCTAAAAAGTTTCCTTGTGCCTCTTTGCAGATGAGCTGGTTACCTCTGGCCTGAAGCAGCCATTTTAGTACTTTTTTTTTTTTAACATTTCAATGATTTTTAGAATACAGGGTAGTGAAACCTTCTCTGCAGTGTAATTTTAGAACATTTGCATTACCCTGAAAGAAATGTGTGTGCGTTTAAAGTCACTCCCTCTTCCTATCTTCAGCCATATCAACCACTAATCTACTTTGTGTCTATAAATTTAACTTTTTTGGCAGATAAAAGCATTACATCTCTGGCTTCTATATCTGGCTTCTTTCATCAAACATAAAAATGTTCAACTTCTGAGCATTTTTATGGAATTATTATTTTTTTTTAAACAGGGAATGACTTTACTAATGATGGGATCAGCAGATGCTCTTCCTGAGGAACCCTCAGCTAAAACTGTCTTCGTAGAAGATATGACAGAAGAACAGTTAGCATCTGCTGTAAGACAAATTGTATTTTATATGATCACTATTTTTCAGAAGTACAGTTACTAACGTGTCTTTCAGAAAGTAGCATCTGAATATTTTGAAGATTTAATAGTATCAAGATGTATGTTTTATTTTTATGTTTTTGAAATTGACTTAAGGAGTTTTTCTATAATTGGATAATTTATTACATAGTCAATTAATATATACTTAAATACAAATCTGGCAAGTTGTCAACACTGTTTGTCTTTACTATTAATTATACATGGAAATAGGCACAAAGAGGTTAAGTAGTTTAAATGCTGGGATATTTAAATTCTTAAAACCTCCCATGTTGAAAATACAACAGTTTATCCTCAATTTAAATGAAACATTGGTTTAGAAACTGGCCAAAATATACTTACCAAATGTTGTTATTATTTTGCCACCAGCATTTATATAATACTATTCCTTTTTTTGGATGTGCTTCTATGTATATTTTGTCACCTTGTTTTAAAGATAAGCCTGAAAAACGGGCAGAATTGATATGACTGTCCTTTTATTATTTTCAAGAAAGGAATTATTGATTAAAACACAGAATGATAGTATGATGCAAGGAAAAATTTTTGTTGGGGAAATAAAACATGTTAGAGTACAGGTGCAATATAAATCATTATGAGTTGGTGAATTATACTTGCTTTAAAGTGTGAACTTTAATGATTTATATATATGCTTTGTCATTTTATAAAATGATTTAATTCTTTTTTTTAATCAGATGGAATTACCGTGTGGATTGACAAATCTCGGTAACACTTGTTACATGAATGCTACAGTTCAGTGTATTCGTTCTGTGCCTGAACTCAAAGACGCCCTTAAAAGGTGAGACAAATGAGAAATATTTTAAGTGTTTTGGGTAATGAAGTTCACATTTGGGTGAGTTGTGGGGTGAGGTGTGCGTGCGTGCGTGTGTGTGTGTGTGTGTGTGTGTGTGTGTGTGTGTATTTTTAGCAGTTTTATTGAGATATAATTAATTTACCGTATAATTCATTCTTTTAAAATGTTCAGTTAAATGGTCTTATTATATTCACAAGGTTGTGCAACAATCACCCCACCAAATTTCAGACTATAAGCCCCTCAAAGAAACCTCATACTCATCAGCAGTTAATGCTTATATCCTTTCCACCTACAGCTGTAGGCAACCATAAGTTTACTTTTTATATTTTCCTGTTTTAGACATTTTGTATAAATGGAATCATACAATATGTGGTCATTTTGTGACTGGCTTCTTTTACTTAGCATATTTATTTAGGTTCATTTATATTATAGCATGTATTAGTACTTCATTCCTTTGTATGGCTGAATAATATTCAGTTGAATGGATATACCACATTTGTTTATCCATTCATCAGTTGATGGACTGTTTCCACTTCTTAGCTATTATGAATAATGCAGCTGTGAACATTCATTCACAAGTTGTGCAGATGAAATGTTTTCATTTCTCTTGGTTATGAGTGGATTGCTTGGTCACACGGCAACTTTATGTTAAACAATATTTTGAGGAATTGCTGAGCTGTTTTCTAAAGTGGCTTCACCATTTTACATTCTCAGAGCAGTGTAAGAGAGTTCTAGTTTTTCCACATCTATGCCAGTCTTGTTATTGTATGTCTTTGATTATAGCCATCCTGAAGGTGAAATGGCATCTTACTGTGGTTCTCATTTGCATTTACCTAGTGACTATAACATTGATTATTTTTTCATCTGCTTATTGGCCATTTGTATTTCTTCTTTAGAGAAATGTCTGATCAAATTCTTTGCCTATGTATTAAGTGGTTTGTCTTTACGTATTCTGGATACAACTACTATTTCTTTTTCTTTTTTCTTTTAAAGGTTTTATTTATTTATTTTTAGAGAGGGTAAAGGAGGGAGAAAGAGAGGGAGAGAATCATTAATGTGTGGTTGCCTCTCGTGCATCCCACCACTGGAGACCTGGCCCGCAACCCAGCCATTGTGTCCTAGACTGGGAATCGAACTCGTGACCGTTTGGTTCTCAGGCCGATGCTCAGTCTACTGAGCCACACCAGCCACTGCTGGATACAAGTACTTTTTCAAATAAATAAATTGCAAATAGTTTTTTTCATTTTGTGAGTTGTTTTCACTCTCTTGATGGTATTGTTTGTAGCACAAAAATTTTGAATTTTTTTAAAAAAATTAAATTTACTGTTTTAACACTGGTTAAAAAGTATTTTGTTTTGTTTTTGTTATGTAAGAAACCATTGGCTAAACCTATGTCACAAAGATTTATTACTGTGTTATTTTGTTTCTGTTTTTAAGAGTTATGCAGTTGCAGCTCTTATATTTAGGTTTGTGATCCATGTTCACTTAACTTTTATGTATGGTGGTGTTGACGGGAGAGACCTGGTTCTTCTTGCTGATGCATGTAAATAATTACATATCAGCAAATCATCCTTGAGAAGAAAACAGAAGTCCCAAGCTTGGCTGGGCAGGCATGGTTCCCAGCACCATTGACTGTGTCGCCGTGATTTCCCGTTCTCAATCCAAACCCATGTGGTACCTTCTCATGGCCCACTAGCAAGAGTCCTCTGTCCCCTTTCCTTCTTGCATGGTCTTTGCATTTTTCCCCCGTGGTATGGGGCAAACCATCTCTGAGCTCTCATGTGCGCACACTGTAACTGGGGGAGCTGCCTGCATGGATGCTTTCCTGCTTCCCCAAATTGTATGGTCAAAAACCTCTAGTGTGGCTGCTGCTCCTGGGTCCAAACCCCAGCACGAATCCTCCCCTGCAACAGTCCTCCCCTGCAACCCCGTCTCCGATTCCTTCGGCAGGCTCTGCATCCTGGCGAGCTGTTTGCTCAGTTACCTCTTTGGTTAAATTTCTGCACACTTTCCTGGTTACCCTTGTTGATATCCAAAATAACCATCTTTGCATATGAGGAATGAAGCTATCCAGCTGTTGTTGACATGCAAAGTAACTCAATGGCCCTGCTCCTTGTCTCCCCTCCCTCTTGGTGGCCCGTGGGTGGTGGTGGGGGGGAGTTGAGAATATCCTATATTTTTCTTGGACACCCCAATTTCTGGACCCCATTACAAATCCCTTTTGTGGGGAACTAGCTGCATGCTGTTACAGTGAGAGGTACATGTCCCATGCCATTCTTTTTTCTTTTTTTAGAAGGAGGGGAAGGAAGAGAGAAATGGGTATAGAAACATTGATGTGAGACAGAAACATCAATTGGTTGCCTCTTGTACATACACCAACGGGGGACTGAACCCACAACCCAGGCGTGTGTTCTGGCCCGGGAATCGAACCAGTGAGCTTTCTGCTTTGTGGGACAAGTTACACCAGTCAGGCCCATCCCATCCTTTTCATGTGGATTCTTTTGCATATGTGTATATCCAGTTCTTCTAGTACCATTTGTTGGAAGGACTAATCTTTCCCTGTTGAATTGTCTTAGCATCTTTTAAAATCAATTGACTATTATATATGTAATAAGTAAGATTTATTTCTGGACTTTTCAGTTCTAGTCTAGAAATAAATGCATTGACTTGTATGTCTGTGCTGAAGAGTAATGGTTTTAAAAAGCAATGAACTTTGTTTTATATCACTGTACCAAAAAGGGTAAACAGTTATTCATGTTTTGAGAACCTTTGAAATAGTCTATAAATGAGGGTCCCTTCAGTGAGTATGTTTAACCTAAAAATATATATAATCTTAATTCTGACTAAATTTATTATAACTATCTTGATATATACTTTGCAGTTCTTTTTTTTTCTTTTCTGGAAGTTATAGCTTGTATAGCACTGAACAATAGTAGCTTTGGCATGTGATGTTACAAAGTCAATTTCTTTTTTATTTTTTAAGATTTTTATTCATTGTTAGAGAAATGGAGGGAGAGAAACATCCATGTGTGGTTGACTCTTGCAACTGGGGACTGGCCCACAATCCAGGCATGTGCCCTGACTGGGAATCGAACTGGTGACCCCTTGGTTTGCAGGCCAGTGCTCAATCCACTGAGTCACACCAGCCAGGGCTAAAGTCAATTTCATTACAAACAATTTCTTCATTCTGGGTCCAGGCGAGGTCAATCAGGAAGAATAAGATTCCCAAATGCACGTCTTGAGTTATGAAGTATCCAGATGAATGTGTGTGCTGCAAATCTGCCTTCTGTTGGGCTGCAATATGCTGCTGCTCAGAGTGATCCCGGAACTCCTCATGAAGGGCAGGTCTCTAAAGTGCAATGCTAGCTCCAGGATGATTTGTTGAAGATTGGTTCTGCATTAGTAGTTTTTTTTTTTATCTTTATCTAGTTTGACCAAGATTGCAACTCTATTTTTGTTTTGAAAACCGTGTCCTGAAGAGTTTGCTGCCATCTTCCTAGTTTGTTTCAACTATGTTCAGTGGCAATTGCTCAGCACTTTACAATCACCTTTTGTGACAGCATGGATTTTTAAAAAATTTTATTTACTTTTAGAGGGTAAGGGAAGGAGGAAGACGGGGAGAGAAACATTGATGTACAAGAGAAATATCAATTGGTTGCCTATTGCACACTCCAACCGGGGGCCTGGTCTGCAGCCAAGGCATGTGCCCCAACCTGAGTTGAACCAGTGACCTTTCAGTTGGTGGGATGATGCCCAGCCCACTGAGCCTCACCAGTCAGGACCCGGCCCTTTCGTGATGAATTTCAGGGCTACTTTGTCTTTAGATACCTGCAGCACCACCATGTTGTGCGCCAGTCATTGTGGGGCAAAGCCACACACCTTGGATAATGTTCCGCATTAACTTGGTATGTTTGGTGAGGCACCTGTGGCAGTGACTGTGCCTTGGCTTGCTCACGGTCTTGGTCACCTTTTGGCCCTTGTTGAGGCCCACAGCCATGGGGTAGCACAGAGCAATCCATGGCTGCTACTCCAGAATGCTACATTGCAGTTCTTAATGTGTGATACAGTACCAAACTGCAGTTTGAATTCTTAGCCTAATGAATGCTGGGGGTGTTTTTGTTTTTTTTTCTTTTTCTATTTTTTTTCTTCCCTTTATTCCCCTTCACCCTACACCCCACCCCCTCCCGTCAGCATTCCCCACCTTAGTTCATGTCCATGGGTCGTACATATAACTTCTTTGGCTTTTCTATTTCCTATACTGTTCTTAACCTCCCTCTGTCTGTTTTGTACCTGCCATTTATGCTTCTTGTTACCTGAATATTTTTCCCCCATTTCCCCCCCCTTCCCACTGATAACCCTCCATGTGATCTCTGTTTCTGTGATTCTGTTCCTGTTCTAGTTGTTTGCTTAGTTTCTGTTCGTTTTTATTTATTTTATTTTTTTTTAGGTTCAGTTGTTGATAGTTATGGGTTTGTTGTCATTTTACTGTTGATAATTTTGATCTTTTTCTTAGATAACATTTCATATAATGGCTTGATGACGATGAACTCCTTTAACTTTACTTGGCCTAGGGAGCATTTTATCTGCTCTTGCATTCTAAATGATAGCTTTGCTGAATAGAGTAAACTTAGATGTAGGTCCTTGCCTTTCATGACTTTGAATACGCCTTGCCAGCCCCTTCTTGCCTGTCAGGTTTCTTTTGAGAAATCAGCAGATAGTCTTGTGGGTACTCCTTTGTAGTAGGTAACTGTCTCCTCTTCTCTTGCTGCTTTTAAGATTCTCTCCTTATCTCTAATCTTGGGTAATGTAATTATGGTGTGCCTTGGTGTGTGCTTCCTTGGGTCCAGCTTCTTTGGGACTCTCTGAGCTTCCTGGATCTCCTGGAAATCTATTTCCTTTGCCAGACTGGGGAAGTTCTCCATTATTTTTTCAAAGACGTTTCAGTTTCTTACTCTTCCTCTACTCCTTCTGGCACCGCTAAGATT